CGTAGACGGAACTGATGATGGATTGCATGCCTCGCTTGGTTGGCGGCTTCTCTTTGACTTTCAGCTTGAATTTGAAAGTGTACGTCTCGATACACCACTGCAAACCCAAAGCTCTGTCCAATGGCAGCTTATCCCTGTCCAGATCAAGCTCATGCAGGTTCTTGGACCTGAGATCCTCTGGGAGGCTTTGAAGCACTCTTCGACTGTTACTAATCCATTGAGTGAGGGTGAACTCTCCTCTGCCGCAAATGGTTGTAAGATTCTTAGCCATGGTGACTGCATCCGCTTCAGAGGGTAGACTCTTCAATAAGTCATCCATATAGAAGTTTTGGTTGACCGTTTCAATCACTTCTGTTAAAAAGTTGACCTGATTGTCTTCAGCGGTCTTTTTAAGAGCAAGGCAGACAACACTGGGTGATGAAACCGCTCCAAATAAATGGACAGTCATGCGATGCTCTACAAGATCTTGTTCCAAGGTACCTTGAGGCCACCATAAGAATTTTAAGTAGTCCCGGTGTTCCTCTGCCACTTTAACCTGGTAGAACATAGCATTTATGTCCGCCATTATGGCCACTTGTTCCTCCCTGAACCTCACAAGAACTCCAACTAACAAGCTGGTGAGGTTCGGTCCTTGTAAAAGCTGACTGTTGAGCGAGATCCCTTTGTACTCTGCTCCACAGTCAAACACCACCCGTAGCTTTCCCTTCTGTGGTTGGTACACGCCGTGGTGCGGGATATACCACACCTTTCCTGTTGACGTTTCCAACTGATGCTGCGGTACTTCTTCGGCATAGCCATTGCTAATGACATCAACAAGAAAGTTGTTCTAAACCACATATGTCAGAGTCAAGGCCCGCGGGCCACATCCGGCCCGCGAGAAGGTTTTTTACGGCCCCTGGGATGATCTTGATTTATTATTAGAACCGGCCCGCAGACCGCAGCAAGCCGGCAGCCCGCAGATCTTTTACACGCACCAATACTACATTTCCCACAATGCAACGGTGACGCACCGAGCAGTAGGCTGCTTCATTTCAATATTTATTGGCACAGCAGTTGTCAGCATCACAGTAAAATTAACTTTCAGATACCCATCAAAAATGGCAAAACGGAAGGTGGACACTGAGAACCGGGGGTTTCAAACAAGGTGGGAGTCGGAGTATTTGTTCACGGAGGTAGCTGGAAAACCTGTGTGTCTTCTGTGTGGAGAAAGTGTGGCGGTACTGAAAGAGTATAATCTGAGACGACATTATGAAACGAAACACGCGGACAAAAACAAGAATATGGACATGGAACAAAGGCTACAAAAGGCAGAGGAATTAAAACGAGGCCTCAAATCTCGACAGGCTCTGTTCAAAAAAGCCAAATCACAAGGCCAGGCTGCTGTCAAGGCCAGTTTTATTTTGGCAGAAGAGATCGCTAAATCAGCCCGGCCATTTACGGAGGGGGATTTCATCAAAAACTGCATGATTAAAGTTTGTGACGAAGTTTGCCCAGAAAAAAGGCAACTCTTTTTAAATGTGAGTCTGAGCAGAAACACCATTGCCGAGAGAGTAGACCAGTTGTCCATCAATCTAAAAGAGCAGCTTGTGAAAAAGGGAAAAGATTTCATTGCATATTCCTTGGCTGTGGATGAGAGCACCGACATTTCTGACATTGCCCAGTTGTCAATTTTCATCCGCGGAGTGGACTCCAGCCTAAGCGTGACAGAGGAGTTTTTGGCTTTACGTCCTATGCATGGCACAACTACGGGGCATGATTTGTATGAAGAGGTGTCAAGATGTGTAAATGAGATGGAGCTGCCTTGGGAAAAACTCGTGGGTCTGTTAACTTTATCAGAGCCAAAGGTTTGAATCACCGCCAGTTCAAGGCATTTCTGACGGAGTTAGAAACGGAGCATGGTGATTTGCCTTATCACACAGAGGTGCGATGGCTAAGCCAGGGAAAGGTGCTTCAAAGATGTTTCGAGCTTCGTGAGGAGATTTGTCTGTTCTTGGACAGCAAAGGGAAAGACACAACACAACTCCGAGACGAAATGTTTCTGTGTGAAATGGCTTTTCTGTGTGACATTACGAGTCATCTGAATGCAATGAACTTGCAGCTGCAGGGTCGGGATCGTGTCATCTCTGATATGTACAGTACAGTGAAGGCATTTAAAACCAAACTGACTCTGTGGGAGACGCAGATGCGGAAAGAAAATTTGAGCCACTTTCCCAGCTGCCAGACCATGAAAGAGAAGCTCTCTACCAGTGCGTTCCCGAGCGCACAGTTGGCTGATAAAATAGGTATGCTTGCCGCTGACTTTCGACGCCGATTTGCTGACTTTGAAGCACAAAAAAGCAGGTTGGAACTGCTCGGTAACCCATTTGCTGTTGACGTGGAAAGCTCACCACCAAACCTCCAAATGGAGTTGATTGACCTCCAATGCAATGATGCACTGAGGGCAAAATATGCGGCAGTGGGTGCTGCGGAGTTCGCCCGTTTCCTCCCCGACACAATGCCCCAGCTGCGCATCCAGGCTGCTCAAACGTTGTCTATGTTTGGCAGCACATACCTGTGTGAACAACTGTTTTCTTTGATGAACTTGAACAAAACATCACACAGAAGTCGACTTACTGCTGAACACCTCCACTCAATTCTGAGGATTTCCTCAGCTCAGAGCCTTACCCCGAACATTGATGAACTTGTGGAAAAGATGGGACACCACCAAGTATCACCCTCAACCTCAAACAAGTGAACATTACTGTGCAATCACATATTTAGAGTTTTTACTCAGTTCAAGTTTAAAAGTTAAAGTTTAATATTTGTTTTCACTGCATGTTACTTCTCCTTAAACAAAGTGTTGTTTTTGATTAATAGATTTTTGCACTTTATTTATTGTATTTCAATCCAATTATATTTTAAAAATATTTCAGTTGAGTGGATGATAGAAAATTGCTATTATTGTTTTTTTCTTTGAAGGAAATTTAGCCCACTTTTGCTAAAATAGAAAATATAGGCTACTGATGGTGCCTTGAATACCGGTTTCTTTCATTTAATGTTCATGTTATGGGGATTTTTATATAAAGGAAATTTGTCTTTTGTGTCTGTTGAAAATTAAAGATTACTGACAGAGCCATAAGAAAATATTGCTTTATTTATCTGATCATATTGGAATATATTTGTTAGGTTTTCAGTAGGTTCAATTAGGTTCACTAGACTATATGCGTCATTTAAAAAATTTTCAATGAACATTCGAACAGTCCGGCCCTCGGCTTGTAGCTAAATTTTTTATTTGGCCCTCCGTCCATTTGACTTGACACCCCTGCTCTAGGACTTAGCGAGGGGGGAAAAACCTAGAGGGGAGGAAGGGGTGGGGGCCGTCAGAGAGGATGAAAGAATAAAGTGCGGCTGTCTGTGTCAGGCGTCTCCAGGGTACGTGTTTGTGAGCAACAGAACACCACGGACCCTCCCTTTGTCTCTCTGTCTCTCAGCAAATCTTACCAGCAGATGCCAGCCCGCAACTCAACCTGAGAGTATAGCTGTCCTACAGCATCGGCTGGTGAGGACGGAGAGGACGCTGAGCATTTTGAGGAAAAACGATGTTGGGAAAATAAAGGTCTGTAAATCACATTCATTGAAGTGAGTTTGAAAGGGTGGGACGACATGCAGGCAGAATGAAAAGTGTAGGGTGGGGGGGACAAACGGACGAGACTGACAAAGAGGAGGAGGGATCGATGGGGAGAAAAGTCCTCGCACCTGCAGCTCCTTAACTGCTACAGATCTGATACTGTGTCTCTGTGTGAGCAAGAGGATTTGTGCAAGTATATATCAACGCCAAGAAAAAAAGTAAATAAGTCTAGTCAATGGCCTTGGTGGCGGGAGGTGCGGAGTGCATTGGCGTTCAAGAGGCGAACGGGGTCTGAACCAATAAAACAGAGGATTAAATAATTTCTTTATAGGAACTGTTAGCCTGAATCATGACTCTCTCAGATCGGAAGATCAAAGAATGACACGGAAGAGAGCCGAAGGGTTATCCAATTAAAAATGAATAATACACAGCAGAAAAAATGCACTAAGCCTACACGGGTCAAATCAAGGAATGCCAAACGAGCGGAGTTGTTGTCTGTGCTGCTTCTCAAATCCCTGCAGGACACAGAGAGGAGAGCGAGGGAGAGAGAGAGAGAGGGCAAGAGAGAGAGGCACAACAACAACAACATGGTTTCCAAAATAAGCTGTTTGCCTGAAATGCTTCGGGACTCTCCCGTTGTTTCCGTGTTCAGGAAGTAGTCTCAGCCTGGTTATTTTCCAATTAGCAAATTATCTGCCAACGTTTGGGGACTGTCGCGAGCCGTGCCACGAGCCGTGCTACTGCGAGGCACCTGCCAACAACTCAAATGGTTTTTTTTACTGATTTTTAAGGAAGCAGTGAGTTTCATTTTTTTAATCTACCTGACATCACAGGTCAAGCGAGCAGGAGAAGAAATGTATTTTAATCTTTAATTAATGTTGAGGTTATTCACGCTAATTGCGCAAAAAAGTGTAAAAGAAGTCCAAAGAAAAGCTCCAGTTGGTGGCTGAGCGGAATATAGATGCCACGAGACAAGAGCCGCGGTCGTGATTTTCACGCGCACGTAACATACACACCCCTGCGATCCCTCCTTCCCGCTCCCTCCCTCCCTCCCTCCCCCTGCCTGTTACACATTAGAACAGATGCATTTCTAAAGTGAGGGACGAAGATCTCCAGACCCGACATCCTCTAACCCTCCACCCCCTGCTGCCAAACTCGAGCGCGCACGGACGGACGGAGCCGGGCGGTGCAGGTGGATGTGGTGCTGCTGCGAGTCGTGTGCGGAGTCCGGACAAACTTGACCAGGCAGCTATATGAAACACCAGAGCTGCCAGAGCAACAACTCCGACTCAACTCCTCTCGTCCAAGCCTCCCACCCAAAATAAAAACCCTAAACACACACACACGCGCGCACTGACGCGTGCGCCCACACGCGCACCCCGTCCCGTCTTACCTGGTGGAGGAGGAAAGCCAAGAGGATGCGAACTCCGATCTCCATGGTGTGTAGAAATTGCTCGCGATGGTGACACGGATCTCAAGACAGGGTGAGAGGGGGGGCGGGGGGAGAGAGAGAGAGAGCGGGCGTCCCGCCGTGAGCCGCCAGCTGACAACTTCCTCCGAATAGAAACGCAGCCGGTTATTAATGTTGTTAATTTATTTTTGTTCTGACCAAAATTCACACGCAAAAAAATAAATTATGGGAGGTTTCAAGTTTCGAATACGCATCAATATACTGGGTATCCCCCCCCCCCCCCCCCCCCCCCTCTCAGCTGTTATTCCGGCATGCATTACATGTTCCCCAAAGTGAATTACGTCTTATATTCAATGCATGGGTGCCGAGGGCTCGGAAGAGGCTTTCCGATGTGCGAGCTGCAGAGAGAGAAACTTCAGCCATGAAGCGTGTTGGCTTGTGTACTGTACACACAATCACTTATCGGGATCACACAATGGCTCCACAGGATCATTGCTCCTTAGTGTTGACGAGACCACCTGGGTTTTGTGAGATGCATGTAGTGGTAAAATATATCATAACATTGTTTTGTGCTAAAGCCTCAAGTGTCCTGTATTTGACCCTGATGTGCAAAGAGCAGCATGATACAAAATGTTGCTTTGCAGTGTTAGGGATTTAAGCCAGAAGTGCACCCCTAGTCAGGAAATTATAGTACGTGTAATAATGTTTAGTGTTAGAATTATAGTTTGTGTGTTATTAGATATTAGTTATTACATTAACATGTTAGATGAAGTGAATGCAATTTCAATCAAACACAATTCATAGTCATTTAAATCATATAAACACTGTACACATTAACATTCTGTTACAATGTGATGTTGAAACCTGGGGACGGATGCCAATTGCCGTTCTTTTATGGATTTCTCCCAATTTTATCCCCAAAGGGTTTTTTTGGGAGTTTTTTCTCCTGTCAGGTAATAAATGAACAACTTAATGCGAGGCAGCCGACTGAGGCAAATGTCTTGAGAATTGAACCACATGAACTGTCTTAAATCTTATGATGAAGTGTGATGAACGGTGATCATTAATGATGGGTTGTTGTAATGAAGGTGTACTAGTTATAAGATGAAGACTTAAACAATGTATGCTTTGTTAAATTCACTCATTGAAGCATAAAGCCAAATGTATCTATATTGTGTGCATTGGAATGTGAGGGACAGATAGGACAGAGAGGTTTCAGGTTACAGCTGCAGCTTCACACCTCGACGTGAAGGGGACAGTCCAGGAGGAGACACTTTGGAGAAGAAGCCAATGACATTCAAATGCACCAAGGAAGACACACCTCAAGAGTTTTCAAAGGACCAAAGCGGGGAAAGGACTGGAGAATTTCTCCTGCAGCCGCGTTGATAAGTCACTTTAGACTTGCTCAGAGGATTCTCTATTTCGCGAAATATTCCACTGTTCGCTTAGTATTTCACTTTGTAATTGCATTCCTTATAACGTTGTTTAGTTATTAAATACTTTTTGATTTTTGAATTTAAACGAATTGACTCATTCGTGTCCTCGTTTCCGGCCGGGACGAGAACAAAGGATTGAGGCCTCCCTCGAGAGCTTTCCGAAACCTTGACAGCAGCTGGGTCTTGAGAAGGGAGGGCGGTCAACTCAAGCTCATAGACGCTTCAAAACAAAGGACTTCTGTTCGGTTCATATCTTATTCGGTACGAAAGTTCCGGATCCACATTTTTTACTTTATGTCAATTAATTATGATTTTCACCGGCCACGGAGGAGGATCTTGTGTGTGTGTGCGCTACCCTCAGCTTCACCTGGGTTCTTATCTCAACCTGCTTTGTAGCTTCTCGTAACTGGCACGGAGAATGTCCTTCACATGTGTATAAAAACTCAGCGTTTTTACTGCTCGGAGACGTCATTACGCCGAGCGCTGAGATACGTGCTGGTGTGTTGGACCTCCTACTTGCAAGCAATAGTTAGAGCCAGATATCTGCGGAGAATTGCTCATATAATCTTTTTCTCTTTTAAATAAATGTTAACTTTTGACTTTAATTGATCAACGTGCTGCGATTCTTCTCATCAACCAACTCGGGGGGATTGGAAATCTTGACAATTTGGGGGCTCGTCCGGGATGAGAGGTTTTCCTGCACAGGCGGATTCGATCTATTCCCAGGTCGGCCTCAAAATAAGGTAAGCAGAAACCTGTTACATCTACTCAAGTAAGGAGTACGTTGTGGATTGGTGGTGTACGAGCCAAAGTAATACTTGAGCAATTCTCTAAAAAGAAAAGAATTAAAAAAATGCATCGATGGGTTGAACCCACCGCCGAGTGTTTGTTTGCGTGCCACCGGGTGCGGGAAAAGTACTGCAGTGCTTAAGGTCTGGAATCCAAAAAAGAAGTGATTACTGTTGTTTAGTGGGTACCTGAGTGTACCAAGGGATCAAGTATCCGTCATAAATCAAAGGAATCGAACGGCGCTGAAGTTTGGCAATAGATAAATTAACTATGGTTTAGTGGATACCGGTGGGTATCGTGGGATCGAAGAGATCCTGGTCTCTGGTTTGGCAACCCCCTCAGACTCTGACGAGGGCTGATTTTGCTAGGTGTGGTGTCCTGGGGATCTGGGGACCCCCGAAAAACTGGTCTCGGTTTTGGCAACCCCCCTCAGGACCCTGACGAGGGCTGAGTCTGCTAGGTACAGGCGCCTGGGAACCCCCAGATGTCTGCGGGCTGGTCACCCAGGGTTAGAGTTCCTTGAAAAACCATATGTTCGATTCCTAAACTTGTGCAGCCCTTGGAGAGGTGCTGGGATACAGTAAAAATAAACAGCGCGCTTTGGAGTGTGGAGGGGGAGAGAGAGAGTAGTGATTTAATAAATAAATTGTTGAGAAATGCACTTAAATAAGAAGAAATAAGTTTTGGAAGTACATTCTAAGGAATTGAGAACGCAGACAGACCGCAAGGTTAAAGCATAAACTTGCGGCTTTAATAATTGAGTCTGAGAGGTTAACATAAACTCACAGACGCATTGACTCCTGAAGGTTATGTAACGGTCGGGATTATTACTGCCGCCTTATAGGGGTTACAAAGCACTTACTCTGGGGAGGACTGAGTGGGACAGGATCTGGGTCCCCCACACTCAATGCCTGTGGCCTCGATGCTCAGGTGAGTGAACAGGTTGTTTACTATTTAGCAGCTAGACTGGACAATAGCTTCTTAGACGAGGCAAAGTGGGCTTCAGTAGGTGGTCGTCTGAAGTGTGTGTGGGGTGCGTGAGGTAGACTCTACCTAGGTCTAGCTAAACAGGTGACGCCCCTACCCCAGGTAAGCAGCCCAATATACTAGACTAAGTTAAACAAACACGTACAGCTGTTATTCCCTGTAATGGGAAAATGATATGTGACCCTTTTAAATGCTTCATTTGTATAACTAGTTTATTAGTTGCAAGTGGTTAGATCACAAAGGCCCTGACATAAGAACTGATGTCTCCCACTTGGATTAGATGTTTCCAGCGTCATAGCTGTAGAGATTGAACAAAGTGTTTGTTATGTCTATGACCACCTTTGTTTAAGCATGTTGGGAGAGCAAGGATACGGTCAAAGAGCTGACGTGTCTTACATGGATAAGATGTTCCCAGTACCCTGGCTGTAGATACTCAACAAGATGGTCAAAGGTTTCTGTTGACGCCAACGATATCTAAACTTAGGTATAAGAACTGCCTCGATGTGTTGGGAAAAAAAGGAGGTTCTTGACAGTCTACTGACCATGTAGCTGTTGTGACCCTTTTTCCCTTGCAAGGAAATAAACGGAGAAAAGACATACTTGACTCAGAGCCTTTGTTTCTTACTTAACGATTGTCTGTGCAAAATCTTCCACCACATCCCTCTATTGTTTACTCAAGGATAAACACAGAGCACAAGGAAAACATATTTAAATACGAGACAGTTATATGGAAAGGTTTCATTAATACAGTCACCTAGAAACCTCACGAATGGCTACTCAATACCTCTGTTTCACCTCACCATCAAACATTGAGTGCTTAACTTGACCCTTAGTGGGCCATACCCGTCTATTGGAAGTTCTCATGGAACCTGGGGAAGCAACGTTCACCCTTGTGACAACTAAAAATGGCTCCCTTTAACCAGAACAGGAAACTTAACAGAGAATATAGCTTACTTCTAAATCATTTCACATTCACATTCACATTCCAATAAACTTACTTTAGATGGCAAAAAAAACAGTTACTCAGCGTCTGTTGTGCCAGTCCGCATGAGCTAACCGTGTCACTCCGGTGTGTATGGGTGTGTGTGTGTGTGTACGTGTTAGTGAAGAGGTGGGCAGAGCTTTTAGCTAGCACGTTGCACCTCGAGATATTGATGTCCCGGCTTGCCCTTCTTGAACGCTCCTCCAGCCATCTTCATCGGTGCACCGCCATCTAGTCCCAGCTAATAGCAACAGTTAACTTTAACTTTACTCTAATGCCGCACGACTTCGGCGCGCGCACTATCCGAGGAAACGTAAACCCAGACGTAACCGCGTTACTGGTTTAAACGTGTCACTTTAATCTAATGCAGCCCGACTTCGGCGCTCGCACTATCAAATAAAACGAAAACCCAAACGTAACCGCGTTACTGGTTTAGAACGTGTCACTCAATACGACCACTCGACAATATTCCTTACCGGGAATACACTTGACGCACCCGTGGAGCCCAAACACTTCTACCGCTCTCCTTTTCGCCGCTCGTACCCCCGTTTTCCCTCTCTCTCTTCCCCGCGTTCATGTGAGTCTTAAAGCCGTAGTACATATTTGTACTTGTTCTGCGAGACTAACATAAGCTCGGGGACACAAACATTTTCTCTGAAAGGTTAGTATAAACTTTCAGAGCTGTCTGCTCTGGTAAAATACATACGAACTGATTGACTGCTGTTAAATGGAAGGTGAATTTGATGGAGAAGCGGAGGACGGCGGCTGGGAGCCAGCGGGGTATTGATGGAAAATAATAAATTACCAACTGAGGCTGTTGTTGGTGGCGGTGAGCGGAGATACCACTGAGAAAAAGGAACATGATGTTGTGGAGCACACGGGACACACGGTGAGAAAGGCGTTGGTTTG